TTGCCTTTGAAATCTTGATAGTGTCTGGGGAAATCTGAACTTATGGCAGCTCTAGCTTTCCATGCCTTCTGTACCAGAAGAATTATGTGGAAGGGATGGCAGAAATGCAACCATTTGATGGGCTGAATCGTCAGGCCATGTTAAGCAGCAGGTCCCATTAATATACCAGATAGGTGGGGGAGGAGGGAGGGAATGGCATCCTGGCACTCATATCTGTTGTGTGACCTGGGTCCTAGAAGCATTGTTGTTGTTGTTTAGTCGTTTAGTCGTGTCCGACTCTTCGTGACCCCATGGACCAGAGCACGCCAGGCACTCCTGTCTTCCACTGACTCCCGCAGTTTGGTCAAACTCGTGTTTGTATCTTCGAGAACACTGTCCAACCATCTCGTCTTCTGCCATCCCCTTCTCCTTGTGCCCTCCATCTTTCCCAACATCAGGGTCTTTTCCAGGGAGTCTTCTCATTAGGTAGCCCAAGTATTGGAGCCTCAGCTTCAGGATCTGTCCTTCCAGTGAGCACTCAGGGCTGATTTCCTTCAGAATGGATAGGTTTGAACTTCTTGCAGTCCATGGGACTCTCAAGAGTCTCCTCCAGCACCATAATTCAAAAGCATCAATTATTTGGCGATCAGCCTTCTTTATGGTCCAGCTCTCACTTCCATACATCACTACTGGGAAAACCACGGCTTTAACTACTACGGACCTTTGTTGGCAAGGTGATGTCTCTGCCTTTTAAGATGCTTAGAAGCATTAATGGTGTATTATCACGAGGACTTCCTTTTATCAGATTTATTGATTGCATAGGAGAGGAGGTGCTTGCTTTCAGTTTGGAAGGCCACATTCCTCAAAGAGGTGCATATTGGGGTGTAAATAATCTGTTTCCCCCTTGGACAGCAAGCCTGTCAAACATGTCTCTCTTAAGCCGTTGTGCCGCTTGCCTCTATCTACTGGCTATTGCACCCCTGGCTTTTGGTGCCCTTGTCCTTTTCAGTATTCCAAAGGCACACTCACTGCAGCAACATAGGCCAGTGTCACTCTTATTACCTTTACCTGTTTTATCTTTTGTGAAATTGAGCCTTTAGCCAGAATTGTCTGAGCTGCTTCTCCAGCAATTGGTTACCTGTGAGACTCCTCGAGCTCATTTCACTCAAGTAATTTGATTCCCCCATGCTTATGAAGATTGCTTTTTTGCTGAAGGCCACCGTGGAAGAGAACAGACCCGTACCGTTATAAGCAATAACACAGCTCCAAGATAAAACAGTGAAAATGTCTGGAAAGCTGGGGTTGCATTCTAGCTCCTGTCACTCATACCCTGTTGGTGAATAGCCTTACCTTTTGCATTAGCTGTCCTGATAAGGCAGCTCTTGGTTCTTTTTATCACCTGCCCTGCTTTCTAAAAATCTGGTTCAAATGGTGCAGTAACTCTCTGGACATTGAACAGCTTCTTATCTTTTTGCAGGGTATGGGAAGAAGCTCTGCAATTCCCAAATACCGTATTTTTCGCTCTATAAGGCGCACCAGACCACAAGGCGCACCTAGTTTTTGGAGGAGGAAAACAAGAGAAAAAAAATATTCTGAATCCCAGAAGCCAGAACATCAAGAGGGATCACTGCACAGTGAAAGCAGCAGTCCCTCTTGCTGTTCTGGCTTCTGGGATAGCTGCGCAGCCTGCATTCGCTCCATAGGACACACACACATTTCCCCTTACTTTTTAGGAGGGAAAAAGTGAGTCTTATAGAGCAAAAAATACGGTAGTTACTGGATTTGAACCAGATCCATGGTGGTAGAGCGCATGCTTTGGTATGCAGAAGGTGTCGGGTTGAATCCTTGACATCTCCAGGAAAAAGATTCTTACCTGAAACCCGGAGAGCTACTTCCACTCACTGTAGGCAAATCTGAGCTATATAAATAGGCAACATGATTGTTGGTGTGTGTGTATTGCTTTATCAGAGCTTCCAGCAAGGACACGAAGGTGTAAATATTAGCATTTTAAAGGTGAATCATTCCTGCTGGAAGAAAAATGTTTCTTTTGAAAATAGGCTATGCATAAACAATCATATATTTTAGTTGGCTGAAATACTCTTTTGGCACTGTTGGCTGAAACACTGTTCATTATAATTTATGATCAAGAAGCCATAGAAGAGTAAGTTAGGGAAACAATGCACTGCGGAGGCCGTTGCTAAAGGGGTTATGATATTAATTTAAACTCATCTATAAATGGTGGGCATATATTGGATATGCAGTTCATTTAAAAAAAAACTTTTCCATGGCTACAGCCATGCAATTTCCATCTAAAATAATGAGCCATGCATATAGAGCTAGGACAGAATTGGATCAATCAATCTTTCAACTATACCTTCTGTTCTGTATTCTCTATTAAAAAGGCGTACAGGAACTTCTGCAGTACTACAATTCCCAGCAGACTCTGTAAGGCATGCAGGAAATAAAAGGATCAAGGAAATATAGTAGCAGCCAGGGGAAAGAGCTAGAGATTAGAAGAAATACGTTTCTAGTAAGCACAGGAATGGCTAGAGATCAGAACTGTTGGAGGAATAAAAAGGTTTAAAACAACCATCTAAAAAGTGATTTCATTGTTAGATGAACATCAAACTTGTCCTAGTCTTATACAGTCTGCCAATTTAGCCTTCCCCCCCCCAAAGCCAGTTTATTATTATTATTATTTTAAAGGGGGATGCTTTAATCTTTTCATCCATTCAAATTATATTTCAAAATGGTTCCTATACAGTAGCTCATATTGCCGTGTTTTGTTTTCTTATTGCCAAGGCTGAACCTAATCTTAGAATGTTTAAGTCTTATCTGTTCTAAGAGAAATCATTTCTAAGCTAGGTATTTTCAAGTTTGCTTGTTGGCTAAGGAGGTAATTGTTTGGGTAATTAGCCAACATTTCCTAACTTTGAACTGAATTCATGTAAAAAAAACCTTAGATCCGTGCTATCTAGCAGCTGTAGTTCAGGAAAATCGGCTTAACATGCAGAGTCCTTGCAAAGTTTTCAGGAGAGTTGCTGCTCAGCAAAGTTATTTGCTTTTATCTGGAAAGCTCAGATCTTGGAAAGCTTTCCAATGAAATTATTTGGGAAATTTCACATGGGCCAGAACAAAGCAAAGCCATGAGATCAGATTCTGAGGCTAGACCAAAGAGATCAGCCTCAAATTGGATACGTCTCATTCAAAGCAAGGCAATTGTGTGGTGCACACACACAGACACGGAATAAACTGTCACTTTGGGATCTTACTTTGAGAATTACTCTGTAGCATAACCTGTCTATCTTGCAAACCCAGCTTTTGTCAGGAACCATCAGCAGTATCAGTATTAACGTTTTGTTTCTTTGTATGTCAATGACCTGCATACAGCAGATGGAAGCAACCTTAGAATAATTTTTAGCAATAACACATTTGGAATTAATTAATCTAGAGCTAGCTACTAATGATGGCGAGGAAAGATAAGAACCAATTTTAAAGTATGTACTGCACTTCCTAATTATTTCCATAATATCCAAAGGATCAAAGGATCCAGATGGAAGGGGCCAAAGGGAGCACTTTGTACTTTATCACAGTACATTATATCCTATGACTTGGGATAGGAAAGGTTTCTGCCGAAGAGAATTGGAGAATTGGATTTGAGATTTGAGATGCGCTGACATAATTGGGGTGCATGATACCTACCAGAACAATGAATCAGAATAATTGCGGCCCCATCATTTTCTTCCAGCGTACATTGACATATACATACAGAGCTCTGGGATCATGATGCAACTATGAACTTGCATCATTTCCTGCTATGTGAGCCTGAACCTAGAGCTTTCTCACACACATTGACCCTGGCGCACAACTTGGAAACTTTTACTTCCGCATCCTCAGTTTCCTGGGATACAGTGGTACCTCAGGTTAAGTACTTAATTCGTTCCGGAGGTCCGTACTTAACCTGAAACTGTTCTTAACCTGAAGCACCACTTTAGCTAATGGGGTCTCCTGCTGCTGCTGCATCGCCAGAGCCCAATTTCTGTTCTCATCCTGAAGCAAAGTTCTTAACCTGAAGCACTATTTCTGGCTTAGTGGAGTGTGTAACCTGAAGCGTATGTAACCTGAAGCGTATGTAACCTGAGGTACCACTGTATTAGAAATTGGGGAACTAGTGTATTTAACTTCTAGTTGATATACACCACATGCCAAAACTATCGTTTGAAGACTGTGCATGCTGACCAGAGAATATCTATAGTGCCCAGAGAATCTACAAAATTAAGTCAAGATACATTATTCAAGGATTGTTGGAGACTATGCATAATGACCAGGAAATGTGCACATTTGGAAGGATTATGTGCACATTCGTGTATTTACACACACAAACACATTTGAATTACTCTCTCTGAGTATGCATTCATGTGCCCTTTGGGTTGTGGCTCTGCTAATTCGAAAGGCCTAGAAAAAAATAAAAGGTATAGCTGGATGAATTTGCTTTAAACATCCTGTACATCATGTAACCACATATCATTATTAAATTATATTGCATATTGCTTTTCTCTCCACAGGGTTGTTGTTTTTGTTTTTAATCCCTTACTATGGTCATATCCTAATTCAACATTGTGTCTCTTAATTCTTCATCTCCTGTATTTCCATTCTGTGGCTTGCTGTTCCTCAGGCTCTGGTCCTCTTTGACCAGCAAACCAGGGTTGCAATCCTGTAATTTCTTACTTGAGAGCAAATGCAGTTGAATGCATTGGGACTTACTTCTGAGTGAACATGCATTGACTTGCACTGTAACTGGCTTTTAAACAAAGACAGAGTTGAAGTTGTCAGATAAATCTGTTGTCAAAATGGGTCATCTCACTTTCCAAATAAAGGTTTGCTCTTAAATAAGGAAAGGTTCTCCCAAAGGTTATCTGAACATATATGCATAAAATATTTGCATCAAGTTATGCTGTTATGTTTAAAGATGTGTAGCTGCATGGATAAAAACTATTTCTTCTATTTCTTTCTTTGCTTAGGTTTTCCAAACGAGCCAGCTGCAATCATTGCACTTACCACAATCAAGGAATGGTTAAGCAAGAATTATCATGAGGTATGGCTATAGATATAAATTCAAAATCTTTCATGTTGAGCGTTGCATTTTCTTGGAAACCATGAGATTGAACAGTTGCACTGATTCCTGAATTGTTGGGGAAGTATATAAAATGAATCCTGATGTCACTGTGTGTTACTTAGCCAGACAACAGAATGTCCATATTTTTTAAACTATTACCTGGCCTGTAAACTATTTCTAGCAGTGTGAAAGGGTACAAATTGCCCTCCAAGGTTTTTGCTCACTATTTTTTCATGTATGTAAAAAGCAATGTAAGACTTGGTAGTTATGAATCTCTTGTCAGCTATGATTGGGAATGGTGAAGTCTGACTCAATAACACTTAGAATTCGCCACTATGTGCTGGGATCTATGTTGGTAAGGTTTGCAGTTAGCATTTCACTTTTTCCCTTATGAGTCATGGCATTTTGTTGTGAACAGAACAGATCTGCATATAGAACTGCATATAGAAAGCACCCTTTGCCGATATAAGTTTTGGTTTATATACTATGTTGTATGACTGTTTTGCTTGAGTGAGAACTCATGCATAAGCAGTAAGATGAAAACTGCCAGGACCAGCTCGAGCTATTTTGGCCCAGAGGCAAACCACAAAATGGCAGCCCCCTCCCTGCTGGGGAAGAAGGGGTGAGTGAAGATCTGCCTCAATAACAAGGGGGGGGAGGATAAAGATCTGCTGCCCCTGTGGTTCCTGCAACCCAAGAAGGTTGCCTCCCCTGGTCTCATGGGTGGGCTGGCCCTGAAAACTGCTATAGACCCTACCTACTGTGGCATTGTGCAATTGATTGCATAAGCAGTTGCCAACTAGCGTTTGGGGCTATTTTTCTTTGGCTCATAGTTCATGAATTCAGGGATGTAAGGAGGCCATGATTTCTGTCCTGTCCTGTTTCTGTTCTGCTGCAGTTCAGCTTCTGCTAAAACTTGTTTTTTGTCTAGCTCTTTGCAGTGGCTGAAGCAAATATAATTAATGATGTAATTTATTACATAATCAATTTGAAAGAGCAACATCAAAAGCAAGGCAGAAAATAGCCTAACATTTGTGAACTGGATAAACAACACACCATAGCATATAGTGCTTGTATTCGCGTGCATAATTTCTGTTCCTGACCTCCGACAAACATTCAGATTGTGGCCATTTCCAAACTCATTTTTGATTCTGACAAAATTCTCCATCATCCATATTTCGGAGCAAACCATTTTTTAAGCACATGCAAATTGTCTTAGAACAATAGACAATAATTAAAGAAAACCTGGTATTCCACTGCTCAAATAAAACTTAAGGGGGACTAATTGCTCCCCTTGGATAGCTAGGAGAAAGTAAGTGAGACTATCTAAATGTAAAAAGTGACTGACTGCCATATCTACTCAGAAGTCAGTTCTGCTGAATTCAGTTGAGTTTACTCCCAGGCAACTGGGGTGAGGATTACAGCCAGAGTTAATTCTTTAATCATCAGGATAACTGTTTTGGCTCATACACGCATACACCCCTCAGGATTTCAAAGCTGGTCAGCTATAATCCTGAACACATTTACTAAGACAGTATGTTCTGTTTATTTCCATGGGAGTTCAAGCACATGTATTTAGGATTGAATGAACAATCCATACAAATTAGCAAGCACCTCTCCAAAGTCTCTTATTCCGATATAGCACAAAAGTTACTGCATGCTAAATGCAGAACTCAGCATGGTGGAAACAATTTATGCACTTCCATTAGGAGGAAGACCACCGCAGCAGCATTGACTAAAGCCGATCTGCACCAGGTTCCCTTGAGAAACCCACATAGTAAATAATGACTCGTATCTAGTTGTTCTTTACGAATTGCTCTGATCTGGTATTGAAATACAAGTCCTTAGTGGAACTAATTTCTGGCCATGTTTTACACTGAAGTCTGCTGACTTGCAGCTAGAGGGTAAATCGAGTTTGAGGTTAGTAAATGGCAATATATTGTAAGTGTAGAAATCCTTTGCATTGAGTTCACAAGAATGGCAATAGTCAGCAGTACCAGGCTAATTCACTGCAGCCTCCTAGGTTATCGCTTTGGTAAACTACATTTTCACATTTTACAAAATACTCTGAGGGTTTAATAGAATCCTTCAGATCACAGAATAGAATTGGGCCTTGTCCTATAGGAAATTACCCTCTAGAAATGCATTCAAGAAAAGCACATTAAGCCCCTCAGATGGATAGAATGCTGTTTTTGGTGCTCATTTGACAAGGTTAGAGATACGACCACTTGTTTGCTCATTATAATATTACAAAGAAACAGCAGCTTTTCTAGCTAATGGTGTCAGTTTCCCATTCCTTGGTAGAAATCTTTGCAGTTCACCGTCCTGAAGTTTTTATCACTTCTGTTTCAAAGTTGTTTTCCGTGCAAAAGACGTTCTGCCAGTGGCCTGGTCTTGACAGTGTTGAGAAGGACTTAATGAAATTATGTAGCAGTTTTGACTAAAGCCACATTTTCCTTGTGCTTGAGGTTTTGTTTAGTTTCTTTGTTAGTATTATTATCTTCTGCTGCTTTTATTTTCTAACCGGATACTTTATTTAATGCTTACTTAGCACCAGTGGTATAGTAGAAGCTGTACAGAACATTGAACTGACACAGTCCCAGCCCTGAGGGCTTACATATTGAGTTATTCGTCTTTTATTGTTCACTGGTGGCACAGCAAATTAGTTGTGACAGGCCTCTGCTCAGAAAAGGACATCATCTCTATCATCATCATCGTTTGCCTCCAGAGCAGATGAGCAGAAATACTGATTATTATTATTATTTTAATGAGAAGGAAGCTTTAGGTGTCCTTAAGTGTTCTTCCTGTATAGCATTATATAACACCGTTTGTTTGTTTGTTTGTTTGTTTACTTACTTACTTACTTACTTATTGGCATATTTATTTATTTAAGCATGTGCATCACATCACAGTATAGTGAAATGTTTCATGAAACGTATAAATGTCCTATCATGAATGACTTTTGGAAAAACGAATGCTTTGGCTCCACTGCAGCAGGGGCTGAGCCCCACATACCACATTTTGAATTGATTGAGGCAGCTAAATCCGATGGCTGATCCAAAGTGCTCAAAAACGCAGGATATTTTTTGGGCAGGATGCATCATTTATGAAAATTTTAATGCAGAGTACAAAGCACAGATAGGCTTTTCATGTTCTTTACAGATTTTGGAAATGTAAAAACAAATTTAATCACCTCATAAAAATGCCCAGATTGGTAGTCACTTCCCTATAATGAAGAACACTAATATACATGGGTAGATTAGGGTCATTTTGTGACTGCAAAGTACACAATGCTTCTGAGATCTCTCTTATACATGGCAATAAGAGCTGGATAGTTTCACAAAACCAGCCTACTCTTTTTGTATTATTTATTGCAAGTCTCCTGTTTTTAGGGATTGCTTATGAGCAAGCCGGTCCTTTCGGTTGAAATAAACCTTTATTTATTTATTTTCCATGTTACATCTATCAGCAGGGAACCTCATCTTCACTTTCTATATTTCCTCATTTTAGCAAAGTTGGTTAAGCATTCTCAAGGTAAAAAAAAACCTTGTTAACAAAGCATAAACCTTTGCTTAGGTTGTGTGTTTGGAAAATAAGAAATAATACTGCTAAAGATCTAGGGTAAGAGAGTTTGCTAGTTTTAGTGAGTATTAGAAATGAATAAATGGTAAAATTTATATAATATTTGGAGTATTGAAAGGAAGATACAGGCTAAGCTTCTTTTCCAGGCTGGGATAGAAGTCTTTAAGAATGGAAGCTAGCCATTAACCTATCAATGCAACCCAGGGCAAGAGATTCTCTGCTAGTGGGCAGAGAGGGGAGTCTCTGCTGTGCCTTGGTTTCCCAACAGAAACACAAGCCTGGGTAAACACCTGGACCCCCTGATGTCTTGCTACCACTCGCAGAGACTTGGAGTGACGTGCAATCTTTGTAAGAATATTTTCAGCATGATCTTAATTTCAGGACTTTGCCGATCCTTCCTAATGGCATTGGAGTATTCTATTTTTGTCACTTTTGCATGTAAGGATCCTTAGATTATCAACACTATATTCCCTTTTTAAAACATTCTCTTCGGGTAGCTCAAAATTAGCTGCTTTCTATTTCTATATTCTAATTAAAGTAGTAATCACAGGCTGCTGATTGAAATGAAAATCAGCCATCACCCTACTGTCATCTAGCTTAAGTCAATAATGGGGAAAATAGGCTTTTCAACTTTACACAAAAATATAAGGATTCACTCGCGTTATGGCACTCCTCTTGGGCTTCCTTCATAGAGAATTAGCTCTTCTCCCCAATGGCTAAACTGAAATATCCCAGCAGACAAATCACATTCACGAATGCTAAAGAAGCCACCAGGGGAATGTATCCCCCCCCCTTATGAGATCTCAAGACTGAGCCTACCTTCATTCAGTAATCTTTTTTGTGCCTCTTTAATTATGACATATCTATTAAAAAGTAGAAAAGATGCACGATACCCACTCTCTTAGGAGGATGTGTAAGTATTTACATTGGCTCACGTCTGTCAGGACTCAATGAGCCCTGCTTGGAGGATAACTCTATCAACGGCAAACAAACTCTGGAGCCCAAAACAACTTGGGATTCCTTTGTTCCTCATCTCTCATTTGTGTCACAGTACCAGGAGGAACTGTGGGACGCAGGTGGCGCTGTGAGTTAAACCACAGAGCCTAGGGCTTGCTGATCAGAAGGTCGGTGGTTCGAATCCCCGCGACGGGGTGAGCTCCCGTTGCTCAGTCCCAGCTCATGCCAACCTAGCAGTTTGAATGCACATCAAAGTGCAAGTAGATAAATAGGTACCGCTCCGGCGGGAAGGTAAATGGCGTTAGTCAAGCTGGCCACATGACCCGGAAGCTGTACGCCGGCTCCTTCGGCCAATAAAGCGAGATGAGGGCCGCAACCCCAGAGTCGGGCATGACTGGACCTAATGGTCAGGGGTCCCTTTACCTTTACCTTACCAGGAG